TCATGTTCCTTGTCAAATTTGTGGCTTCACCGGTCATAAAGCTATTGACTGCTTCAATCGCATGAATCCTAACATCTCTGGGAAGATTCCTCCTGCTAAACTTGCAGCAATGTATACACACTACACCTCCAAGCCTTCTCCAGCTTGGCTATTGGATTCTGGCACCATATCTCACATCCCTAATGACATTGCCAACATCTCTTCACCAACACCGTACACTAGCGAGGACAAAGTTTATGTCGGTGATGGTAAAGGTCTCTTTATACATCATATTGGCTCTTCTTCTTTGCATTCTTCTAATGATAAATTTAAGTTGAGTAATGTACTTCACGTTCCTCAAATGAAACACAATATGTTATCTGGATACCAATGTCTCAAAGATAACTACTGTGCCTTAACACTTGACTCTGATGGATCTGTTGTGAAGGATCGTACTATGGGGATGACGCTTTTGCAGGGTCCAGTTAAAGATGGTTTTTATCCTTTGCAAAACTGTTCTTCCACTGGTCAATCTTCTGGATCCTCTTATGCCCTTGTTAGTGCTCAAGGTTCAGTCACACTCTGGCATAGCCAGCTAGGACACCCTTCCTCATCTATATTTCTCAAAATAATCTGTAGTAATAAGTTTGCTATTAAAGGTACAACCTCTGTTGACTTCTTTTGCTCTAAGTGTGCTATTGATAAAAACCATAAACTGCCATTTGGTTCATCAACTACATCCACCTCTAAGTCTCTTGAGCTTTTACATTGTGATATGTGGGGACCAGCTCCTATCACTTCAGTGAGTGGTTTTCGATATTATTTTCTCATAGTTGATGAATTTAGCAAATACAGTTGGTATTTTCCTTTAAAGACTAAATCAGAGGTGTATTCTACTTTTGTAACCTTCAAAGCTTATGTTGAGAATATTGTTGGCAATAAAATCAAGATCCTTCATACAGATTTTGGAGGTGAATTTACCAGTTTATAGTTTAAATCTTTTCTCCTACTTATGGTATTGTACAACAACTTAGTTGTCCACACACACCAGAACAAAATGGTTGTGTGGAGAGGAAACATAGGCATCTTATTGAGACAGCTTAGACCTTATTAGTTGAATCTAGTGTTCCTCATTCCTATTGGGTTGAAGCTTTTCCCACTGCCATTTATCTTATCAATAGGCTGCCTCTATCAGAAAATACTCAATCATCCTGGGAGTTATTGTTTAATAAGTATCCAGATTATTCTACACTTAAGGTTTTTGGTTGCAGTTGTTATCCATGGTTAAGACCCTACATCTCATATAAGCTTGATGGAAAAAGTAAAAGATGTGTCTTATTGGGCTATAGTTTACAACACAAAGGTTATAGGTGTTTGGATTTGGACACTAATCAGGTTTATATCTCCAGGCATGTTACATTTGAAGAGGGTACTTTTCCATTTAAAGTTGTTCCACCTATTGCACCATCTGTTGATCATTCTCTTTCTCCATCTCCATCTATTGATCTTTAATTTTCAATGCCTACATCTATATCCACTACACATGTGCCTCTATCACCATCCTTCGCACCTTCTTCACAACCTACTATCTCTCCTCAATCTGAGCATTCCTTTCATACTGTGCCTACACACCAACCTATGCATCATTATGTTTCCAATGTTCATCCCATGGTTACTAGATCCAAAAATGGAATTTATAAACCCAAAGTCTTCACTGCTACCAAACATACACTTTCTTCTTCCAATGATTACATTCCCAATACTTATCTTCAAGCCTTTAAGTCTGAACATTGGAGATTGGCAATGCAAAATGAATTCAATGCCCTTTTATCTACTGGCACCTGGACACTTGTTCCATCCTCATTCTCTCAAAATGTAGTTGGTTGCAAGTGGGCCTTTTGAATTAAAAAGAATCCTAATGGATTTATTGAAAGATATAAAGCAAGGCTTATTGCTAAGGGGTTTCACCAAAAGGAAGTCTTGACTACACAGAAACCTTTAGTCCAGTTGCAAAGCCAGTTACTATCAGGCTGTCCAATTTAACTGGTTTCTCAATCAACAGGACATAAGTAATGCATTTCTACATGGTAACTTAAAGGAGGATGTTTTCATGGTTCAACCTCCTGGTTTTCAAGATCCCAGCAAACCTCATCATGTGTGTAAGCTCAGAAAATCTCTCTATGGACTTAAGCAAGCTCTAAAAGCTTGGTTTGACAAGTTATTTCAAGCTCTCAAATCTTTGGGATTTAGTTAATTATCATCTGATGCTTCTTTATTTGTTCTTCATGCTCCAACTTTGGTTATAGTACTTGTCTACGTTGATGATATTCTGGTCAGTGGCCCTAATGCTAACATCTGCAATTAGTTTATAGCAAAGTTAAGCACTCCATTTCCTGTCAAAGATCTGGGCCCATTGCATTACTTTATGGGTCTAGAAGTTCATAGAACCAAAAATGCTATGCTTCTTTATCAAAGCAAGTATTTGCTTGATCTGTTATTGTTTGGGTCCAAAATAATATTGTTGGGCTGAGTGTAGGTTTGTGCTCGACCCAAAGCCGTGTCAAAAATACCATGGGCTGTCTGATGATTCTGGGCTATTTAGGAGGGATGGTCGAGTCCTATCGCAAGAAGAAGTAGTTCAGATAAGCAAAGAGGGTCGAAGAAGTCCTGCTGCAATTAGGATTCTCGACCAGCAATGAATAAAGCCCCGAATGAGGGTGAGTTCAAAGTCCTAATGGGAGTAGGGTTGTTCGAAGCAAAGTTGGAACGAAACAAGGACTCCCAATCCAAATAAGAGTTTAATTTGATCTCAAGGAGTTGGTGCTATAAATACAAGAAATCATGCAACAATTGAGACCTCCAATTCAACACACAATTGCCCTGCGCAAAACCTCTCAAACATCTTTAGATTTTTTTCTTTTCTTTTTTCCGCCAACACTTCTTCAGTTTGGATAAACAACACTGTGGAGGCAACCGGTGAACACCTTTAGTTTGGATAAACAACATTGTTGCTGTAGAATCAGCCGACTGAGAAACACCTTCAGTTTGGATAAACAACACTGCGTCGAGGCCGACTGGTTACCTATCCAAGTCTCGGCCGAGAAGGGTTTTCGAATCCTTGTTGGCGAAGGTCATCTTAGTAGCCTTCCAGGCGAAGTAGGGTGTTACAAGCTACGACATTCAGCGTATTGGACGCCGAGTGATATTATGATTGGATATTCGCAAGTGAGTTTCAGAGTTCGGCATTCTGACGGCCGAACCACATTCACCATCAAGACATTCATCACCTTTGAATACTTTTATCCGTACAGTATGGTGTCGATTCGACGTGCTTATACTCTTACGAATATAATCACGGTGACCGAATCAGGCACTAACGATTTGTGAACTTCGCAGAACTAGCAGCCTTGTCTTCAGGCTCTAGAACCCAAAGACCGAGAGTGTTTTCCTCGGTCGCAGTCGCAAGATAGTGAAGTCAGCAAAGCGCCCAATGCAACATCAACAAATTTTACTTCTCGGTCGAGCTTGACAGACGAGTTGACACTCCCCGCATTAAATCGAATGACGTAGTTAGCTTATATGTTACTCGGCCTGCGCGCCGCGTAAGTTTTGTAATTTTTAGAGTCAACAGTTACAGAAAACAAACATAACTGGTGCAAAACCCTTTTGCACTCCTCTTAGTTCTACCAAGTTAGATCACAGTGGGGAATTACTTGTCAATCCCACTGAATACAGATCACTTGTAGGTGCTCTCCAATACTTAACTTGGACAAGACCTGATATTTCCTTTGCTGTGAATCAAATCTGTCAGTTTATGTATGCATCTATTGTTCTCCATATGCAAGCAGCTAAACGTATATTGAGATATCTCAAAGGGACTACAACTCATGGTCTCTTGTTTAAGAAAGGTTCATTGCATTTGTCAGCCTACTCTGATGCAGATTGGGCTAGTTGTTCTTACGACAGAAGGTCCACCAGTGGTTCATGTGTTTTTCTGGGCACCAACTTAGTTAGCTGGATTGCCAAGAAGCAATCAACAGTAAGTCGTTCATCTACTGAGGTTGAGTACAGATCTTTAGGTCAAACTGCTGCAGGGGTAACTTAGATTTGCAAGGTGCTCAAAGACTTTGGTTTTCCTCTATCTCACAAACCCACTCTCTAGTGTGATAATATCTCAGCTATATCTCTTGCATCCAATCCTATATTTCATGTGCGAACTAAGCATGTAGAGATCGATTATCATTATATTCGTGAGTTAGTACTTGCCAATCTGGTTGCAGTTAAGTATGTGTGCAGTCAGGATCAAATTGCCGATATTCATACCAAAGCCTTATCTAAATACAGGTTCCAGTTTCTGCAGTCCAAGCTTTCTCTTGGAATTCTTGATCTTGGAATTCTTGATTCTTCCAAGTTTAGCTTAAGAAGGTGTAAAGATGAAGATGCTATATCATAACTAGAGTTGGTTATTAGTTTGTTACTCATGTAATTAGTTTGGTATATGTGACTAGTTTAGATAGCTTAATGTGAATGATCAAAAGGCTATATATATGTAATTGTATTATTCACTTTTCAATTAATGAAAAATTACAGTTTTCTTAATTCTTAAGAAAACCATTTTCCCTCTCTTTTCTCTCTCTCTCTCTCTCTTACAAGAAAACAGAGTTTCTACATCTTCACCATTATTATGCAATGTTAAAAAATAAACTTTGACGCATGTAGAATTTCCCTAAATTTTGATGCGATTGAAAAATGAGAAGAAAAAAAAAACAGACGTAATATATAATTATATATACACTCATCAGACACAAAATCTCAATTCTTAGAATGGGAAGTGTTTTCCAATGCAAACAAACCCCTTTCCTTCCCAGCTCCAAATCTTAGAATGAGAGTTAAGATACTTAATTAAAAATTACTTTTAATTTAGTATAAACTTTACCACAGATGGGCATTCAGATTCACCACCTTCTCCACAACAATTCAATTTTCGTCTACCACATTACAGACTTAATTTACAATATAAGATGGCCAATCCAAATACAACTCCACCACCAACTTCAGCAGCAAAGCCGCCAAGTCACTCAACCTCACCACCACCGTCCCCGGGGGCAAATCCTCCAAGTCACTCAACCCCACCGCCAACTCCATCAGCAAAACCACCAAGTCAATCAACCCCACCACCACCTCTGGCTGCGAAGCCACCACGTCCATCAATCCCACCGCCACCTCCGTCAACAAAGCCACCACGTCCATCAATCCCACCACCACCACCTCCGGCTGCGAAGCCACCACCTCCGTCAATCCCACCGCCACCTCCGTCAGCAAAGCCGCCACGTCCATCAATCCCACCACCACCACCCCCGGGGGCAAAGCCTCCAAGCCCCTCAACCCCACCGCCACCACCATATCAACCATTTAGGCCACCGCCCCCGCCTCATGTACGCCCTCCGCCACCGCAGCTGCCACCACCGTCCCCATCACCGGACAATAATCCCACCGTCATAGTCATTGTGTTCATCTCATTCGGTTCTGTTTTCTTCCTTGCATTCCTTGCAGTTTCCCTGCTTTGTTGCATCAAGAGGAGAAAGAAGAAGACAATCCAAGAAACCAACTTCATTCACATTGACAAACACCGGAAGATGAAGGAAGCAATTGTAGAAGGTCCCAACGGACCGCAAGCCGTGGTGTTGTCGGTCGAGGATGATGTCCACGTCGACGAGGAGATAAGGAAGAATGAGACAATTGCTCACGAGGGGTTGCATGGAGAAGTAAAGAGTTCAGATGTCCAGTCGGATACCGAAATCATTAACGTCGGCGAACATCGGAACGTGAAGGAAGACATAGAAGTTCCGCATGGATCGAAAGCTGTGGTGCTAACAGTCAAAGACGATGTTCATATCGATGAAATAATAAGGAAGAACGAGAAGGTTGGTAAAGGTTTGCATGGCAATGCAGAGGCAGTGAAAATTGATTAGCCTTCAACGAGTTCAAATATTGGTCAGCAGTAATAATCTTGTATGAACATTTGATGAAGTCGTGATTTAACTAATATAACTAATAAAAATTCATCTATAAAACCTGATATATGTATCTAAATGTGACTGTTCTTTTATAAGATGGATCGGTAAGATTATTTACGTATGTCAAATGCGTTGTTATTAATTTGGGTGGACAAAACCCCATCTTCGCTTGCTCACTTTCTCAACAAGAACGCACTGCCTGCCCTCCACTGAAATAAAGGAAGCTATGGTTTTGTGGGGTGACGACGATCTCTGCTACTTGTAGCGTCGTCTTTATGCAGTGCCCCTGTTGTATGTTTGCTGGTAGTTTGGTTGTTAGCCTTAGTATGAACAGATATAGTTTAATTAATTTTTATATTTCGGTGTGAACAAAGCTCATTCCTGAGACAGTTTCAATAATGGAAAGACAGACGGAGTTTATATTATCCAGATAAGAAAATAGTTTTGAATGAAATCGTTGTTAAGGTTTGTCTGCTGACTTTCCCGATATAAATGGGTTGGTAGCTAGAAGCTTGGTCGTTTCCTTAGGTCTATTCTGTTAGGACCATCTGCCCTTCTCACCTAGACAAACACGAGCACAAGAGATGTCAAATCCAGATTTGCATTCCCGTAAGTGGAGACTCGGTGGTGATATTATTTGATTTGAAGACTGTTGAGTTATTCATATCATAATGATGTCACTTACTACCATAACAATGTTACTCTTCCATATTTTTCATATTACATCTGTAGTTTATATCATATCTCTAATACCGGTAGAACCAACTTGTATTAGTGGGTCCTACTTATATCTGAAAGTTGATATAAATGTAGTATAAAAAATATGACAAAAAACATAACTCACTATATTGCTCAACACATTCAAAACTCAGCAGACTCCAAATATATTATTACAACATGATTACAAAATAAGTAATGTTAGAGAGACTACTTATTTATACAAGGATAATATAAGGAAGATCAAAATTTTAAACCAAATATGCAAACCAAATAATGTGTTACCAATTAAAAACAAGCACGTTAATACATTTAATTAATAATTCAATCATCTACAACTACACTATTTGGTTTAAAAAATTTGGCCTTCCTAACATTACTCTTATACAATATTAGGGTACTATTTTATGTATTCAAATGATACATACATACAATCAAGAATAAATGAGATCAGGACGGTCCTTAGATTTCGAGGGCCATGTGCGAAAGTGAATTAGAGGCACCCAAAACTGCAAACTTAATTTTTTTTTATTTTCAGTTATACTTTCTATAAATTGTAATAGCAACAAAAATTATTACTACTCAACTGATGGAAAGTTGGATAATTGTTTTTTCTTAATTACTAAGAGGTCTAGGGTTCGAATTTTTATGTTATTTTTTTGTGGAATTTTTATATTATTTTTGTGGAAATTTATGCATTTAATAATAGTAAAGTAGAAGTGATGGAGGAACCCATTCCCAAGCGCACATAGAGAAGCCTTACACTTGTGCTAACAGTTGGTTTTATTATTTTTTACACATATTGCTATATATACGTATATTCATGTAAAATTGAAAAGTCAAGGATCCTTCCAATTTTGGAGGTCTGTGCGGTGGCACCACTTGCACACCTTCAAAAGCCGACCATGAATGAGATAAAGAGCTCGTTTGGATGTACTTTTAAAATGGTTAAAAGTGCTTTTAGAGAAAATATTTTTCGATTCCAAAAACACTTTAAGTGCTTTCTGCAAGAAGCATCAGTTATGTGCTTCTTTTGAAAAACACTTTTAAGTGTTTTTCTAGGATTTACTTACACTTTTACTAAGGATTAGTTCTAAAAACATTTTCACCAAAAACGTTTTCAGTCATTTTAAAAATACATTTAAACGAGCTCAAATTCACTAATTAATGTAACATGTACACATCACTTCAACGTCAAAAAGTACCAAATGTAATATTTGGAAAGAAAAAAACAAAAGAATATATGACCCTGAGAAAGAATACCCCACAAAAGGCAAAAACGAAGCCAAATGTGGATGTTTATGCATTTAATAATGGTAAAGAAGAAATGATAGAGGCAAGCCTTGAACCCATTCCCAGGCGCATATCGAGAAGCCTTACACTTGTGCTCTCCGGATCCACTTTACTATTATGGGGATCTTAGGGATTCTCACGTCCTAACCGTTATCGTACATCGTGTAGTCAGTTTTCGTCAGGTATTATTTGTGTTTAATTTTAAATAAAAAAAAAGGTCAAATAATTTCTGATTGCACGATTCACGATGACTGGCTAAGATATGAGGATCTCTAGGATCCCCACAATTTGGATCTGGATGAGATCCAAACCCTAATTTCCAAGCGCATATAGAGAAGCCTCAGACCATCTCCAACCCTTGGCCTAAAACCTAAATCTTTTTAGTCCAGAAAATTTAGGTTTTAACCCAGAAATAGCTTTTGTGCTCTAACCCTTCTGACCTAAAATTTTAGCCCCACAAAACCTTTTTATTTTAATTTGTGCCGATGACACCATCTTCACTAATAGAAACTCATGCCAAACATAAAGCAACATCTTTCTCAAAGGTCCAATTACGACCTCTAATATGTTGTTTTGCCATCTTGAAAATTTTGGAAATGAGACGAAATGGTAGAAAGAAAAAATGGAAGAATTGTAGAAGAAAAGTGAGTTTTGTGTGGGTGTTTGAACAAATACATAAGTATTTATAGAGTTTTTGGGTGAATTTTGAGTTAAATTTTTTTTTTAATTATTTTAGCCGTTAGATTTAAATTTGGGCCTTTAGATCTTTTTTTTTTACTGTTGGATTTGATTATATTTGATCTCAACCGTTAGATTCAATAAATTTAAAAGATTAAAATTAAACATTACATCAATTAAATATGAACTGTTGGATACCAACAACCCATTTGAATGTATGCCATTAGATTACATAAAAGAGTCGTTAGGCTCATCAATGAAATGGAGTAGGATTATCTCCCTTCCTCTCACATTCTCTTATTTTGTATTCTTCTTGCTGTAAAAAAATTAGTAAGATGTTGATGTAGTTTAACCATGACCATTCAAATAGGAGAGGAGGAAATGAGAGAGAAAAAAAAAAGAAAGAGAATCCTAGTCCCAATAAAATAGGCAAGTGGGGTTTAAGCCCCTGTGGGTGGGTTCGCAAACTGCAGCACATGACCAATTTTTGGGCCAAATCCTGGCCGATTTTTGGCCTTTTTTTTTTTTTTGTTTTTTGGGTTTTAGGTTTTATGCCCAAATTAGAACTAGGGTTTGGAATGGAATTTTTTTTTTGGGGGGAGAGATTGAAGGGAAATTATAGGTTTTAGGCTATGAGTTGGAGTTGATCTTACACTTGTGCTAATTGTTGATTTTATTATCTTTTACACGTATTGCTATATATAGATATATTCTTGTAAAATTAAAAAATCGGGAACCTTTCCAATTTTGGGGGCCTGTATTGCACACCTTCAAAAGCCGACCTTGAATAAGATAAATTCATTAATTAATGTAATATGCACACATCATTTCAAGCCGACCTTGAATGAAATAAATTCATTAATTAATGTAACATGCAAACATCATTTCAACGGAGAAATTTTTAGTTGCGTCAAAAAGTACCAAATGTAATATTTAGAAAGGAAAAAAAAAAAAAAAAAGAATATACGACCCTAAGAAAGACTGCCCCACAAAAAGAAAAAACGAAACCAAATTATTTGTTGTGATTACATCCCATTTCTAGTAACATTACTTTATTGATGAAATGATTACAAGGCCAACTCTTTATTAAAGATCCAGCTAAACTTAACCGCCTGCGGCGCCATCTTCCGTGCTTGCTCATCCGCCCGTTCCTGAAGCCTTCTAATTCTCGGTGCCAGCCCACACACGAAATCCTGTGCTCGAGCACCTTCTGCCGCCAATCCCTCCAGCTTCTCCAACTTCCACCTTCCGATCAAAAACTCCAAGATATCCGCGTAATCGTCGGCCGTGTACACGCCGATCCGCTGAGCCACCGCCGCGAAGTGCTCGAATATCTTCGGGTCTTCCCCATCGTACATAAGGTGCGCCGGCATCGTGATCTTCTTCCGCATCATGTCGCCGATCGCCACCATTGCTCCGTTGGGGTCCACTTCGAGGAGCTTCTCAATGATCTTGGCGTAGGCCATCTCGTGGCGCCTTTCGTCGGATGCAATGGTGCCGCAAATGCGCGCGAGCACTGGATCGCCGCCCTCTTTGGCGAGCCGAGCTGTATTGCCGTGCGATACGAACGTGGCTCGCTCTTGGAACGACGTGTACACGAACCCCAAGTAGGGATTGTTCTCTGTCCCTGGATTCTAAAATTTAACCAAAACAAAAAATTTATTTTGCATAATCATAATTGCATTAGACAATTAATTAAAAAAAATATACACATAAATGCTAAATAATAAATTAAAAAAAAAAATCAGAAAAATACAACATTCGACTGTCACAATCTCCAATAACTAAGTCAAAAGTCTCAGATTTTAAAACAAAATGTGCTTTTTGTGTGATTAATAATTTTTACCCAAAAAAAAAAAATTTGAAAATAATAATAATATTGTATAATAAAATCATGTATGCAATCGGACTCACCATGCCGGCTGCAATGAGATGTTGTACGGTTCTGTCGATCTTGAGCATATCGACCCGACCCGACAAGTAAAGATATGTGCGGAGCAGATCCCCATGTCTGTTCTCCTCAGCCGTCCAAGACCGATTCCATCGAGCCCACGCGCTCGGGCTAGAACCAGTCTCATCCTTCACTCCGTCTAGCCCATTTACCATGGTTTGATAAGTGGGCAACGCGTCCTCAGTAATCATGTCCCCCACGAGCGCCACAAAGTACTCGTCAGGGAGCTCGCTGGTTCGATCACGGAGGGCTCGAACCTGATCCAGAAACTCTTCTTCCGGAAGTGATGAGTCGGGCAAGAAGGTGCTAGGCTGCCAGCACTGATCTACCGGTTTTAGGAAAGGGAGGACGTGTTGCTCGGCCCAGCCCTCTAGCGACTTGAACAGCTCAACTTTTTCAGGCGGCAGTGAGTGGGCCTTCTGCCGAGTTAGAGGTGGCGGGGAAGTTGTGGCCACGGCGGAGACTCTGGGTGTTGATCGGAATTTGATGGTGGGGTTTGGTGGAGTGAGGCGGTGGTGGGTTGGGGTGTGGCCAAGTGGAGGCCTTGCAAGAGTGTTGGTGTCAATGTAGAGCGAGGTCCGCATGGCTCGAATTTATTTCTTTTGCACTGCCTTTGTCACTCAGTTTGCAGAGGCTTATATTTATAAGGAGTTGTATTACTAAATTACCCTTTGTTTTCAATCTAATTACTGTAATGCCACTTTGTTCGATGCTGTCGACAAACAATATCTTTGTTCGGACTAGGTAAGCAATTTGAAAAATGTGACATTATTCTAATTATAACTGGAAATCTTTTATAAAATTGAAAAATGTTTGTTTATTTATCGAGTACATAATATTCTGCTTTATTATTATAAATTAAAAAATATAAGAATTTTGAACGTGCCGTCAATGCTATGGAGGTGCAAATTGTTTTTAGCCAACTTTTTTACCCTCTTATCAACAATTTATGTACCTTTGTAGTGTCATTCTGGTCATGACATTGCTTGCTCGGTGCCGAAAAGAAAAGTTTGTATTTTAATTACGCAAAGCAAGGTTTTAGAAGCAAAAATAAGGAAAGGGCAATAATGTCAATTTAAGAATTTAGGGAAACTGTTGGTTTTGAAAACCGAGGGGTGCAGTGGTTTTGAGAGGAGGGGAGAAATGGAAAGCTGATTTCTGTGGGTTTGAAATGGTAATCGACAGCTATCGCATTACTCGTCTTTGGTAACATCGAAATTAAAATCCCAATTATCTACTAATTATCTATTAATTAAGTTTTTAAATCTCATTTTACTTGGACGAGTGTGTTTGGTTGGTCGGTCAACAGAGATTCAACAATACTTAACTAAGAAAGTAAATACCCCCAGTTGGTCTTTTGCTATAATGAATCTCTCCAAATCTTGGAGAAATGCTTCATTGTGACCGAAACACGGGTAGTACATCATATATTTTTATATATGTAGTGAGAAATTTTTATCTTTTAACTTATTAACTTTTTAACACACATATCCTACTATTTGTATAGTAACACGTGATGTATCATCCCGTGTTTCAATCACACTGAAAAATCTCTCCAAATCTTTTGTGTACTAATTAATTGTGCGGAATAACAAATGACTTTTTGTATAACACTTGCATTAATAAATCTTGCTAACAAAGGCATCACATTTAGTGTAGAAATGTTGAATTTAATGGGATTAATTTTATTCATACGATAAACTCTTTTATACATGCATCACAAGCTTGTGCCTTAAGGATTTAGATTCTTAAAGAGTAAGAAACCTAAGTTATATATAATTACGATACTTAAGTAACAATGAATTGTAATAAGGGTTTGATTCTATCATGCTCCCTCACAATTGGTGGCACAAAAAATACAAGTTTGGCCTGAATCAGTTGGACGACAATGTTTATGACGTCCTTTTGTGAGAATTCAGGAGGTCGATCAATAGATAGTGAGTACCCATTTGAATTGGCTAACGAACAAAATAATAGTCTAACTCGATGTGTTTAGTTCGAGCATGGAACACTGGATTAGTAACTCTTGACACTGAGACTATCACAATACATAATAATTGTTGTTGAAGTGCATGGCCAAGGCACTCATATACAAATATGGATCAAGGCACGATACTCAGATTTTGCTCTGGAGCTTGGTGGAGCTCCATGAGACAAGAATTAGTCCAAGATAAATAAGAAAGTCCAAAGTAGAACAACGTGTATTCGGACCAAATCCTTAATTTAGCCTGAATTCTTTGCCAACAAATGCTGAAGAGGACCAAAATCCTTAATTTAGCCTGAGTGAGATGGGGCCAGTGGATGAGTGATGTACCTCAACGCCCAACAAATAATGAAGATCATAGAAATCCTTAACTTCAAATTATTTACCAAACACATCAATAAATGATGCCATAACAGGAGGACAATTACCGGCAAGGATAATATCATCAACATATAAAAAAGAGGATTAAGAAAATAGTACCATATGCATAAACAGAAAAGGAGTGGGTGAACAAACTATGTTTGAAGCTGTGACAAATGACAAACTGATTGAGGTACATGGAGCTTGCTTAAGACCATAAAGCTCCTCAGTTTGCACAAAGTCTGGTGGTTGAACCATGTAGACCTCCTCTTGTAGGTAATCATGAAGGAGAACATTATTGATATTAATTTGACGAAAAGATCATCCATTGGTGACAACAAGACAAAGAACAATACGAATGGTAGCTGGTTTGATCACAAGGTTGACTGTCTCATCATATTCAAAGCCATGTTATCAGTAAAGCCATTGGCAACAAGGCGTAATTTGTAGTGCTTAATTATTCCATCAAAGTTACCTTTGATACGAAAGACCCACTTGTAGCCAACATGACAATAACGTGGGAGGGGGGGGGCACTAGAGGCCATGTTTGATTTTGCAGAAGAGCATTTAAATCCTCTGGATGCCTAAAAATGTGTTTGGTAAAACAAAAAAAAAAAAGTACTTTTTAAAAAAAAACTGTTGTTAATGAAAGTAAAAAAGCAGAAGCAGGGTCTATCATGCTTCTAAAAAAAGTTTTTTATTTTCTCAAAACATAGTAATCAATGCTCATTTAATAAACTTTTCAAATGGCAAGTATACCCCCACATGTTTTACAAAATTACAATCCTTGCCCCTACATTATTGTCTTTGATACTTATTATATCATATTAAATACTATATTATTTTTAGTCATTTAACATATTCAAGGCAATTTATATAAAAGTTTACCAAATACTTGGGCATTGTTTTTCTTTTATATATATATATTTTTTTTTAAATCACTTTTACAAAAAAATGTTCTTTATTTTACAACAATTTATTTTCACGGCACAGCAGAAGCAGTTTTTTTTTTAAAAGCATGGCAATACCAAACTAATCCTAAGTGAAGCATGTGGGTTCAATTTCATCAGAGGAGGCAAAGGTAGAGTAGGCGGCAAGGATCGGGTATATAATGGTGTCTTCAGTTTGAAATGCCTGAATGCAAGCAGGTCACCATTGGGTGATGTGGTTTAGGGTTTATGGTTATCGGTAGCGGGCGGTGTTGTTAGTGCTTTATTTAGATTAATTTGGTGTTAATTACTACATTTTGTAATTTATTAGTATTAGGATGTGTATTGATCAAAAATATAATTAAAACAAGATTTTAATACATTCTATACGTTTGTCTTCCTAATCGCATTGGCTTCACCCATTTATTCAATTATTATTTTATTCTTATATCAAGGGCCAATTGGTGGTGTGACTTCAAGTTAATTGGACTACAAGTTAAAGAGGTGACATGGGCGTTGTCATTAACCACAGATGAGGGACTTCAAATTAAGCGGTGAGAGTGGATGCAAGTAGAGTGAAAGTAGGAGAAAGTAGAGAGAAAGATGGGAAAGTACTTTACAAATTCTACTTCCAATTCGTGTGGTTTTGAGTGCAAGGAGATGGATTGAGCATTCTTGATTTTAATTTAGCTTTTATGCAATTTATTTTCCATCGAATTACAATGAAGGTTTTTGTCATGCGGTTCTAAACTCTTAGCTAAGGCTAAGAGGAATTTCTAATTATGATTACTTTAGCTATTTGATTGTTTCATTCATGGATTTCAGATTGTTAATTAATTTTCATTCACTAATGGAATTGCAATTTTGATATTTGGTTCTTTGAGCTTGACCATAGCCTAGGATTTTGTTATTGAAATTATTTGCATATGAATTTATTTCTGACCATGAATTGGATTCTATCGATGCTTTGTGAATGAGAATCACGAACTTATATTTTGATCTGACCGTAGACGAATATTGGTTCGTGTGACTTCCTAGAAGATTAGTTATTTGTTTGACGTGACCAAGTTGATAAGTGGTTAATTTATTTCTCACTGTGCCTAATTGGATTTCTACTTGTTTGTGTATACCAGACCATGGATATATAGACTGTAGGAATAGTTGAGTTTAAGCCTAACTACAATAAAATTCACATCTCTTTGAGAAATTATTGGCATTTGTACCTAACCACATACATATGACCGGAAGTTTTCATTAATTTGATAATTCAATATGGGTTGACAATTGGATACTAGGTATGACAATTAGTGGTGGAATCAAAGCCTTAGTGTTTTCTTACATTTGTTTTCAATCACATTTTTGTTTAATCACTGTTAACTTTAATTCTTCTTCAACATAAATCCAATCTTTGTTCCAATTTGTTAAGTAATAGTTATTGGATTCAGTTGGTAATTCAACCCCAGTGGATTTGATCTGGTATTTACATATTTCTACTACAACTGATTCGTGCACTTGTAAGTAAATTTAGTTTGAATTAATCTATTTATTAGGTTAGCTTAAATTCACATCAATGCTAGCGGCAGCAGAGGTTGAATTTCAACAACAACGAAAAAGTAGAGAAGTAAACAACAAACCTTTTTTCAGCAAAAGTTGGCGACAATGAATACAAAATCATTCGAAACCACAACAAAAATACCAATCCAAAACTGGAACCAACCCTCGCATTTTTTTCCCCAAAAATTCCTAATCCATTTAAAACCAACAATCAACAATGCACATGACTCGACCTTGTTATTTTCTAACTATCCACAAATCCAGCCACATGCCTGTTGCAGGCACGCTGCAAACACACACAAGGAAAAAACAAAGTCTATACTTGCGGCGCACATTCTTCGTCCAGTTCATGGACATCATGGTTTCTGTTTTCATTAGCGCCATGTTAGCATACCACAACCTCCCTTATCACGAATTATATATAAAGCTTTTCATATAACATTGCACACACATACACACACAGATATATATACAGAGAGAGAGAGAGAGAGAAGCAGCCTCTTATCACGAATTGTAATCCACTGTGCATAACACTGTGCGAGCAAGACACAATGACCGGCAAAACGCACTCCCTTAAATATTCCATCCTAAAATGTCAGGGAATTGCATAACAGCTTAGATGGATTTTGCCTACGCACAACAAGCACATTCAAGTTTTTCACTCTGTTTTTGTAGACCTCAATTGATTTTTCTGCTTAGCCCGAAAAACTTTTGAGATTGAGAGAGAAAACCAAGAAATTCAAGTCAAGAAAAGAAAAAAAAAAAAAAAAAAAAAAAAACACTTAAGCATCCTTCCAAATGAAATCACACAAAGCAAAGAAATAATGAATAAAAGCACAACTCCCCTCTCAAGTTTTGAGATATCCACCAAAATGAATCCACACAAAATTAAATTCAAGAAACAAAACCACAAATTCCAGTGAACCAAATAAGAAACACAAACAGAATCATCAAGAAGCAGAGGCAGGAAACCATACCCAAAACAACAATTGTAGTTCCTGGGAAATTTCAGAACTGTTAACGGAGGACAGCAAAAAAAGAATCCGCTTTTAGCCCCCAAATCCACAACAACACTGCAACTCACCGCAAATCCAAATCGTGAGTGTTTCCTCCAAATCGACAAAAATCCAAAAACAAAAACCCAAAAACAGTTATTTAAAATATACCTTGCCTGAGTAAAAGCCCTTGCGCAGCTGTCTGGAAACATGCCGCCCGCAAACTAGGCTAAAAATCAGCCAAAATTCCGAACAGAAACAGGAAATCCCAGACCAAAAAAAAAAAAAGACGAACACGGATTGTATTCCCCCGACCACAACTTTGGAAGGCCCGGAAACCAATTGATCAGTTTCCACAAAAAACCTTAGGTTTAAACAGATGCACAATGACCCTCAATGACAAATCGTAGAGAAAATCAAATCCCTTAAACAAAACCACGCAGTCTTTGTGCAAAAGAAACAACGATCACCAAAGAGAAACACAGGATTAGAAGTAAGGAGCAAAACAAAAATAGCAAAACCCAAATCAAGAAAGACAACAAAGGAAGAAAACCCTAAGGAGCTAAGAAGACTGTCAAAGTCGACGGAATAACGATGGGGACGCATGGAAAACAGGGGTAAAAATGTCTCTTCACTGCACCAACCAAGCAAGATAGACGGAAACAAATGAGAGTTGCAAGGACAAATCAGTCTGGACACTATAGATAAATAGTAATCCAAAAACTGGGTTTTAGTATATATAACTAGAAGAAGCTTCGGCCATTAGGTACTTACTTTCATCAATCCGCGCTCCTTCACAAAAGATTGTTGCGCTTTGTCCTTCAAGTAGTCAATGTTTTGTGAGAAGTAAAACTTAGTGCACGTGGTTCAATAAAAAATTTCTTGCAGAATGGTACCCACTTTCTTGCAAATTCAGATGTCTCGGCAAGAGATTCAAAAGTAAGCATGGCAGCACTAGGGCTGGTTCAGTATGGGATACCGAACCGAAACCCTTGTCCCAATTCCCAAACCGAAGTTTTCGGGAATCCCAATTTCGGAAATCCCGAAATAGTTTCGGGATTTCGGGACAAATCGGGATTCCCAAAATATTTTTGGGATGTTTTCTTTCACCACACTAATGAAACTTAAGATGGCAGTTTGCTCAGATAGTTCAATACCAGAATAAAGAGTTACCATTTTCTTTCAACTCTATTAGCATTTTCAATTTGAAAAGGATTGGAGGTCATTTGTTCAAATGAGGGTAAAAATGTAACTGAATAAAAATTCTATATTATCACGAGGTCAATGAAATAATAGCATGTCAAGGTTGGCATATAAATGCAAATTAATACATTGACTGTATTGCCACAATACCTCCAGTTCTTGCTTGCGTGCTTCCTCCTTTCTTGCTTCTGACCTAGCACTTCTTTGTACTTCAAATATCAAAGCAACTGTTGCAAGTTGCAACCTGTGTATATATTTTCAGTAAGAAACAAATACTTAGGAAAAATAACAACAAAACAACTTAGGAAAGTTATATGATCTACCATTGCAATTGAAGATTCCTTTACCTAATGATGTGCAATTATGTGGGTATTTGACAGTTCATCAGTTCAACACCTTCATATATACTATATGAACACGGTTTTACATGATTTGAATACCATGTACAGTAATTAAGCTAGTGGTTCAGCACTCATATAGTAATTAGTATTAAAAAACAAATCTATATGAACAAGGTCAATCAAGTTGCTTTCAGCTTTGAAAAAAATGGTAAACATTTGAATAGCTCTGATCATTGGACAATAATTATGTTCCAATGCTAAATGTACACAAATTTCAAGCTTTTGAATGCAATATGTATAGAGAGAATTATTTCACATGCACATAGATGATAGAAATACAGAGATCATCAATTTGCAAAACCCGAAATCCATATAAACTTAACCCCAAAAATTATGCACACATTTCGACAGGTGTCAACAACCTCCATATCACTTCCAATTGCTCCTAAATTTCACAAACCCTAATCTAGATTTCACAAACCCTAATCTAAATTTCAGAAACCCTAAATTAATTCCCAAATTTACCTGATTTGGGGGAGAATCGGTGCACAATGCACTGGAATCTGGATGAAAAAGTCGAGAGAGATCAGAGATGTGAGCGGCGCCGGTGGCCGTGGCTCTGTCTCTGTGCCGTGAAGGAACAGTGAGGGTCTGAGGGATGAGAAGTCGAGAGAGAGAGATCAGAGACGGAGAGGTTGTTTGAGGTGAGGTCGAGGAGGGTGGTGAGGACCGTGATGCACTGAGGTTGTCTGTGACTGTGAGGTGAGGTCGAGAGTCGACATAGTCGAGACGGAGAGAGACAGAGAGTGACTGAGTTGAGTTAGGGTTTGAACTTTGATTTGTATTCAACGGTTGAGATTAAATCTCAATCAAATCCGACGGCTGTTACAATTTAAAATATAAATTTAAAATTAAATAATTATATTTTGTTTATTTTGGTTTGATATTAGATACCGAAAATTTCGAAATTCTCAGTTTGGTATTTTTTCAGTTCGATTTGGTTTAAAAATATTCAGTATTTTTTTTCCACCCTTAGATCAACTCTAATGGTGGGCTAAAAGCCAAATTACCCCCTAAAATTTCCCCCCAAACGTACTCCAACCTAAGGGGAAATTTTGAGCTAAATGCTAAATACTAAACCAATGCCAAATTCCCCCCCCCCCGAAATTTAGCCCAAAAATCGGGGTGGACTCTACCCAATATTTATCGGAATTTAAATTTTTTTAGATTAAAATGTTCATAAAATTAATTTACGATAGTCTACATATTTATTTTTTTAAAAAAATTTAATTTAACAAAAAAAATAGCCTAAATTCATTCTTTAATAATCCCGGGCTAAAATTTTAGGGTAGAATGGTTGGAGTAGAAAAACTATTTTTGGGCTAAAAGCTAAATTTTTCGGGCTAAAAAATTTGACTTTTAGCCCAACCATTGGAGATGGTCTTAGGCAGACCATCGTCAGACACATAGCAGTACCAAAAATTTCGAGATTCTCAGTTTGGTATTTTTTCAGTTCGATTTGGTTTGAATTATTCAGTATTTTTTTCCACCCTAGGCAGCACCATCGTCAGACACACAGCAGGAAACTTTATCCACGGGGCAGTTTACAGCAAGGATGAAGCAAAGGAGATTTTAAGCCAGATCCCTTGGCAAAGAAAGCTTGCTGCATATCTATGAAACTAGACACTTCTCTTCGTATTAAAAAAAAATAATAATAAAGAATAAAAAATAAAAAATAAAGACCTAACGGAGAAATTTTGTTTTTGGATTTAATTTCTAACGAACTTCATCACAAAGGTTTAAATCTGAATTTTTTTATTACATGAGCTATCTCCAAGTACCATATCACCACGAGAACCGTTTATTAAATTTGGTATCGAATTCGCTATCTATGAGATTAGAACCTAAAACCCTTCACTTTCAAATGAATAAAAATACTATCAGATCGTAATACTGAGTAGCAATAATAAGAAAAGAGCAATGACGTCATTTTAAGAATTTAGGGAAACTGCTGGTTTTGAAAACCCAGGGGCACAGTGGTTTTGATAGAGGAGGTGGATTGTCTGCCCTCCCATTTCCATATTCTCCCCATGCCTTTCTGTTTGTGTAGTCACGGTTAAGTCACGTCAACATTTTATATTCCTATTACTTTTTGTTTTATTATTTCTATAAAAAATTAATATAAAATGTTGACGTGGCTTAATCGTGACCACACATCACAGGAGAGCATGGGGGAGTATGGAAATGGGAGGGCAGACAATCCACCTCCTTTGATAGAAGGGGAGAAATGGAAAGCTAATTTTTGTGGGAAACGGATCCTTGCCGATCATTTTCTTGGGAATTCTAGGGATCTCGTGATCATGACTGTTCATCGTACATCGTGTGGTCATAAATCATTTCAAACTTTAAAATTTTAAATTAAATATAAATAGTATTTAACGAAAACTGACCACATACGATGAAAGTCACGATTACAGGATCCCTAGGATCTCCAGGAAAATGATCCATTTTTGTGTGTTTGAAATGGATGTAAAACACCTAGCAAATGAAACTAGTTACGAAAAATTATAAAACAAAATATTATTAAGAATATGGATAGAAAACACCTTGAAAATAAACTTGAATCGTCGAATTCTCCAAAGTAGTGCTTGCATTCTTCTCCTCTCCCCCTTAATGGTTAAATAGTCTTATTTATAATACTACAAAATAAAATTCTACCTAGAAAATGTCTTCTAAAAACTAGGAAACATAATAAAATAAGATAGTTAGGAAATAAAATGTTTCATATTTAAACTGAAATTCGGACTGCAAAGAAAATCCATCTTTTGACCAACCAAATCAACTCCGATTTGGTCCCAAAATGTCTCTTTTTAAAGCTTGAGACATCCCTAACAAATCCTTAGAAGGAATCTTCCTCAAGATATGCCATATTGACCCTTAAAATACCTAAAACGTCCAAAAACGTCAATCTAGGAAAACTCTACACTGGGCCTTTATTTCATTGCCATGGTCAACTAGCATGGTAGAAAAATCTGGAATTTTGACACAATCATCTTAAAAGACTCGCAAACATCCTCCAATTTAAACCACTCCAAAATTCATCCGTTTGATCACGTTTTACTCCAGATGAAGTCGAATGTCCTACATTAAAAATATATAACAAAATATCAAAATCCTATCAAAATAACTAATAAATTATAACTAAAATTAGGGTGAAATATATAGTATAATATGGACTCATAAGAGGCAATGGTAAAGTAGGCGGCGAGGATCACTTATATAATGGGGTCTTCAGTTTGATTATGCCTAAAGCAAACAGGTCACCATTGGGTGATGTGGTTTAGGGTTTATGGTTTTGGGTAGCGGGCGGTGCCAGGGAGCATCCGGTGCTGGTGTTGAGGTAGCAGGAGGTGGCAGGGAGGTGGCAGGGAGGTTGGTGCTGGCGGCAGCAGAGGTTGAATTTCAATCTCAATATTAGGGGACTCATCTAAAATGTAAATGATAAACCTCACTTATTTTACAAAATGACAGTCTTTGTCCTCCCTTCACTTTCCATCCACCACCCCTCGTCCCCTAGCCAGCACGCCACGACCACCCCCTCGGGCCAAGCCCCTCCATAACCCTTTCGTGTGAGTGTAAATTTTGTAAAACAATTTTTTTATCAAAATAATGTATGCAGTGAGAGTTCAGTTTCTTTTTGTCAAACTATCCTCAACTGTCATTATACACACTCAAAGCACTTCTATATCAAAATTTACCACACTGAGACAGTTTTTACATTAAAAGTGCTTTTAAAAATATTGTTTACCAAACCCTTAATTGTTTTATCTCACAACTAATAATTCTTACAACACAGCAGAAACATTTTATTTTTAAAAGCACAGCAATACCGTAAGTTGCTTCTCCTCTCCAAATTTGCAAAAACCCTCAAATCCACAACAAAACTTATTGAATAGACATCAGATAGATATATAAATTCCCTCCATTCAGCAGGCAGATGGTGCACCACCTAATGGACTATTGCTCTGCTTTGATGATCCATAACCAAACTAGTTTTGCATAACTAGTTTTTTTTCTCTAATTCTCCATGCGGATGATGCACCTAATGGACTGTCCAGAAAGCATCAAGTCAAACGCTTTGTTGATCTCTGCGAATGGGACCGAATGAGTGATGAATTTATCCACTTCCAGCCCCTGCAAGATCAAACAAGTTCAGTCTTACCACATTGCCATTTTCAAAACTAACTAAAATAGTTGTGCAGCAAATTCACAAGGAATATCCAACTTAAAAAGCTTAGGCCTTTAGGCAAAGGACATGACACTTAAATACGCAAAATTAGGGTGGTTTCGCGGACTTGGTTGTAAAAGAAACATACCTTGTTCATGTACATCTCCACGACACCTGGTAGATCGGTGCGGGGCTTGTAGTTGCCATAGAAGGTACCCTTAAGAGTCCTCTCGTTCAAGAAATTCATTGGATGGGTTTTGAATGCATCGTCTTTGTTTGGCACACCAACAAGTACAGCGAGACCCCAACCCTAAATTTAGAAAGAAAAAGTATGATTTTAGATTCTGAAAGCAATGTTGTTGCATATTCTAGCATCTCAGCTAATTGAACAACAAAAAGTGGTTTAGAATTACTCACATCATGAACACATTCAAATGCAGAGATCATAGCCTGGATGCTTCCGGTGCACTCCACACTCCTATCAACTCCGCCGTTGGTCATCTCAGCAATCACCTTTTAATCAAAGTCAAATGTTAGTCGCTAAGAGCTGATAATCACTAACACTAAATGGAGTGTTAAAGATAAGAGAAGCACCAAATGGGGGAAACGGAAATGCTTTGCTCTAATCAATCGGACACAAACATATATCAAAGAGATTTCTATAACTAACCTCTTGCACAGGTTTGTTATGATCTTTCGGATTCACGAATTCATTCACCCCAAACTTCTTGGCTGCCATAAAGTATAGAAATTATTTAGTGAATGACATCTCAACCAGACATGAAGACGCGTAACTAAGTCCTTAATCGTTAAATATATGTATAATCATATTGACTGACCTTCCTCAAAGCGACTGGCATTCAAATCAACACCAATGATCCTTGAACAGCCCGAAACCCTTGCACCTTCAGCAGCCTAAAATGAAACAAGATGAACAAGAAAATCATTACAATACTCCAAACTATCCAAAAGAGCCATAACAGAGGAGCAATAAGAATGACTTACAGCAAGACCAACAGCTCCCAATCCAAAGATGGCAATAGATGAACCCTTTTTCGGTTTTGCAACATTCACAGTGGCACCAAAACCTTCAAATACACAAACAGAAACAACAATTGATTGCTCCAGAAAGAAAAGTTGAAAAATCCCTAATTTCTGATTCTAAGTTTTTAACTATTAAAATGGGAGAAGTCTTTCGAACCTGTGCATATTCCGCAACTAAGAACACAAACTTTGTCAAGGGGAGCAGCCGGGTTGATCTTAGCAACTGAGCCAACGTGACAAACAGTGTATTCACTGAAGGTAGAAGTACCTACAAAGTGATAAATTGGTTTTCCATCCTTGGAGAACCTGGACTGGCCATCATTGATCATGGTACCCCTATCAGTATTGATCCTCAGCAGATCACACATGTTGCTTTCCTCCGACTTACAGTGCGCGCACTCCTTGCACTCCCCAGTGAACACAGGGAGGACGTGGTCACCCGGCCGGAGTTCAGTTACGCCCTCGCCTACGCTTTCCACAACTCTAAACACAAAATGTTAAGCAAACAAAATTTAGAACAGTAAACAAACTGTGTAAAATGGAAGCAAATACTAAG